AAAAACTAAAAACTAAAAACTAAAAACTAAAAACTAAAAACTAAAAAGGTATGAAAAGAAAGTCGGAATTCTATCAAGAACCTTGTATTCACTCTTCGACGGAATATTTGAAATATTCATTCAAAGAGAGCGTTACGAGGTGCAAATTCCAAGTGACTGCTGTTCGACATTTGTAACTTGGGGTTTAACTAGACGTGTCCCACTCTTCCTCACACAGCGTGCTGCCGTGACGTATTATTGGTCGAAGCAATTACACCCATAGTAAAGTCTCCACAGAAACACACATATATGTCCCCTAATTGGGCTGCAACTAATCCACACTATTGGGGGGTCATGGAATTCGATCGCCGAGTTTCGTCCAATTTCGGATGTTTATCGACAGGCTTCAAAAGAATGGAGAGAAAGAAACGGACAGCGATTAAAGGAAGAGGACAGAGCGAAAACACCATGGAATGTCGATGAGACAATGTAATGCAACGATGAAACCTTTTTACTATCAACTTTTTCATTGTAAAACTTTTACCATCATATTCCTGACATTTTTCTAATGAACATGAGACCAAACACGATATAATTCGAACGATATTTGTTAGAATATTCGAAATAATGTTAGGATATTCGAGCTAGACAAACGCCCGAAACGGGCCATGTGTTTAGTCTCTGCGCGTTCCCCTTCTTAAAGGAGGTTTTGGGATAGAGGACTTTTGTAAACGATGGGCCTGACGTCAGGGGTGTCCTCACGACTGTATTTTCTGGCGAAGGTCAGAACTGTACCGACTTGCATCGAGGCAAGAGCTTATTGAATATATACTTCTTACACATCTATATCCACTGTTTCTTTCGTGCGCCCAGTGAATTCCATCCTAAGCTCCTTATTCTGGTCTTACATATTTACCATTCATCTTTTTTTTTAGTAAGTGTTCTACGATATATGATACATAATAAGGTGTTACAAGTAAGTATGTTGCGAATTATAAAGTATGTTTGGTCTCATTTTAATCAGAAAAATTTCAGGAATATGATGGTAAAAGTTTCACAACAAAACAGTTAATAATAAAAAAGTTTCATCGTTGCATTACATTGTCTCACCGACATACCCAGATGTTCTATCTCCGTCCTCTTCCTTTATTCGCTGTCCTCCTCTACGTTCGAAGCTTGTCGGCAACTATTATGACAATACCACTGTTGTAATTAAAACGTAAGTATAATACTTTTGTATTATATTACTTTATATTATATTTTCTATTTTTTTTTTTATTTAATTTTGTTTTTCAGGCACGGCTGGCGGAGATTTAATATTCTTTATATATTGTTTATCATTTCGAATGTTCCTGTATGAAATTTAATTAATTATTGAAAGGGTGAAAACAGCACCTAACGTGCGGGTAAAACCCATATTTTTTTAAATGATTTGAAAACTAGGACAAACAACGGCAGCTAACAACTGACCGGGAGTGGTGACTCCTTACCATAGCACCGAGAGCCCATGCTACTCGGGAGAGGTAAGAACCGGGCGTAGACGGGGCAACTCGTAACGCGACCGGAAGGCTGTCTGCGAGATCATAAGCGCCCGAATGCAACGCATCGTTTGATCTTGTCGAATCTTATTGTTAGATGGGTTTACTAATTGCCGCGACGAGTCGGCGAACTGTTCGCGTGTGGATATCGGTCAAGAGAGTAAAGCCGAAAAAGTCCCTCGTGGGGCCTTTTGTGCTAAAGTTCCGATAGCTTGCATTTAGGGAAGAAATATCAAACGACACCGTCAAAGTGCAGATCGCGCCCGTTCGACGGCGAATGCCGAGTGATCATCGACGAGCAGGCTTTGTGTCTGGACGCGGAGCCGCGAGTCGGACGCGAAAAGAAGAAACCGCGCGACAATAACCCGAAGGAGGACACGTGCCGCAAGCACGTGCCAAATTCTCGAAGGTTCGATGGAGTTTTGGTAGGAAACTCAGGAGGGGATGGATATTATAAAGCGGCATCAAATCAGTCGTCAGTCAGATATAATCGTGAAACCGTCGAAGAATAATATATTAGTAGTACAGCAGTAAATACCGAGCAGAAAATGGCCCAAAGCAATGATAAGTATAATTCCAACTTCAGTGGAAAATAAATATACTGCATAATTGAAACACATTCATGTAATATATATCCTATATATCTTTTTTCTCTTTCAGAAGAAAATATGTGCTTGAATTTAGAGGAACAAATGTACAAAAAGATGGAGGAAATGCAAATATGTATGCAGCAGAGGGAGGAGCACAGCAGCAGCAACAGCAGCGGCAACAGGAGCAGGTGCTGCTGGCTCTGCAGCAGTTGCAAGCACAGCAAATAGACTTCCAACGGCGATTCCAGACACAGCAGCAGCAGCCGCAACAGCAACAAAGAAAAGCTGAAAATATGGTCGTGAAAAATATGGAACTCCTGCGCCGCAGTAAGTAACACAGATTTCATTGACAGAAATAAGACTGGTTTACATTAAGAGTGGAATTGCGTCAAGTGTGTCACGGATTTTTCGCAAAATCTTAGATTTCCGAAATTATTACATAAATTCAAAGTATACCATAGAGCAAGGAACCAATTTGAATGTTTTCGCGATATTCCTATTTTTCACTCGATTACTGCTATTTATATATTCGTGCATTATTTTGTTGAAAAAATTATAGTATTCAGCTCAATTGTAGTATTGTGTTTATAATATAAGGAGTCATTGCAATGTCTTTATATTTTTAGTTACATATATGAGTAAATACATTGTCAACGTTTAAAAATTTTTTTTTAAACAATTTGTTAATCATTTGCGATTATTAATGCGTTCTCTATTCGCGATTCGAACTAAATTTGACTATATCTGTAGACCTATTACTGCACTAATAGAGTCAAATTTCGTTCGAATCGCGTATGGAGAACGTATTAAAAATCGCAATTGTTTGACGAATTGTTTACAAAAAATTGTTAAAACGTTGAAAATGCATTTACTCATATATGTAACTAAAACTACAAAGACTTTGCAACGACTTCCTACAATATAAAATCATTATTGAAATTGAGCTTAATAATAAGATTTTTCCAAGAAAATAATGCACAAGTATATAAATAGCAATAAACAAGTGAAAAATAGGAATATCGCGAAAACATTCAAATTGGTTCCTTGCACTATGGTATACTTTGAATTTATGTAATAATTTCGGAAATCTAAGATTTCGCGAAAAATCCGTGCAGTTTCACCCGAAATAAAAAAACATTTCTGTACATTCAATACCATTTTATTCTTCTAATGTATTTAACCTGCGAAACTGGAAAATCACATCGGGGTCATTTTTTATGGATAGGTTTTCCAGATATGGTTTTTGATTTTTTTTTTCTTTTTTTTAAAGATAACCACACTTTTGACCATATCTTACAAGTTAGAAACGTCCGATTGTGTCGCGAAAAATATCATATTAAAGATAATGGAATCTCCAACAACCGCTTCTAACATTGTTTTCCAATTTGTTCAGTAGTTTAAGTGGTATGGGGCAAATTATGTGAGAAACGTGGATTCTTTTCGGCGAAAATAAGAATCGAAAATTTGCTCTATCGTCATGCAAAAATTGTAATTTTCAAATCATGTCCAGTGCTTTACTGTTTACGTATACTTCGTACTTTTGCGAAGTAAACAAGGTATTGATGAAGAAAGCCTATGGATAAATACTGGAATTATGAGCAATTGAGTAAAGGAACTAAAATTCAATTTTACTCTGTTTTTGTATTTTTTCTTATATTTATATAGACACGTTTACTTAACTTTTTCCAACTTTACTCAATTGGTCATAAATGTGGTTGTAACCCCCTTCAAGTAGTTCCGGGTTAGGTCGCCAGAGTAGCGCCCCGATCACGCTACCGCGTGAAGCGCTGCACCCCCGCCACGAGAACTACCCCCGTCGCGCGCCGCTAACAAACTTGAAGCCAGCAGGATTACTCCAGACACCAGTATTGCAACAACGATTTGAAGTAGTTGCAATGGACCTATTCGGACCTCTCCCACCAGGACCTCAAAATGAAAAATGGGTTTTCATTGTGGAAGATTATGCTACAAGATGGACGGCGTTATTCGCATTGGACAACGCGACAAAAGAAAATTGTGCGTAGACTTTAGTCAACGAAATTTTTCTCCGATTTGGTGTTCCACGGCGCTTGATCAGCGATAATAGGACACAATTCATAAGCAGTATGATACAGCAGATCACGTATTGTTTAAATATCGATCACAAGTTCACACCTGTATACCATCCAAGTGCTAACCCAGTAGAACGAAGGAATAGGAAACTCAAGACACAACTCTCTATATTGCTGGGAAATATAGAGAGCATAAGCAATGGCCCTCCAAACTTCCAGCAATTCGTTTTGCTATCAACACGACAATATGTCAAGGTACTGCCTTTACCCCGGCGGATCTAATGGTCGCCAGGGAACTCAGAGCCCCAGCGGAAAATACAAGTGATTTACGTCAGATAATCAATAACGAGAACTTCATACCGGAAGTAACACTAAGATTACTTCAAATGACGGAAGTACTGGACAAGGCACGAGAAACCCATGAACAGGAACAAGATCAGAGAAAACTTAATGCAGATGCTAAACGACGCCCTGCACCTACTTACAACCCAGGAGAGAAGGTTTGGGTTACCTCTCATGCCCAATAAAAAGAAACAGTTTATATAATTTTCCAAATTTATTTCATTTCCTTCAAACTAATCCCCATTAGTTGAATCCCTAATAGATGATAGGCATTAGTCAATTGAATTTCATTTTAATATTTAAAAATGAATGATGTTTATTCTAGATTTAGAAAAAAAAAATATTTTTGTAATATTAAATAAATTAAATTAAATAAATAAATTAAATAAATTTTGTAATATTAAATAAACCTATTCTATATGTAGAACAGAATATTTTTCCCTAATATAAAATAGTTTCCGATGTTAAGGAGCATTCTGTGTCTTCTTTTAACGTTGTGGTTTATATACGGGAACAAATATTTTGTTCTACATATCGAATAGATATTTGTTATATATTTAAAAAATATATTCTGTTGCGAATACCAAATAAATCTGTATTTTACATTCGTCAAAAAATGGTCTAAATACTTGGACATCTGCAGGTGTGCACTGAATTTTTGAATAAAATTTTTTTCATATGTAAAGAAGGGCATGTAGAAGCATTTCTGAAAGTAGGAAGGGACGACTCTCTTTAATTTTTAAGAAATAAATTTTTGCAAATAACTAAATTTCAATTGACTTGTGTCGACCGTACAAGTGTCGAAGGTATCAGAGAAGCAGCGTGACGCATTCGGTAGTGTTGGGTTGCGAAATCAATCTTTTGCTCTGAACGCGGTACGATCTCGGTAGGAGTCACTTTTATTCTTTTTTACGTTTTCTTCTGTTTGTATCACATTTATTATGGAAACTACCTTTTTATATATTAGGATTATTTTTATAAAATATCGTGCAATTTTTATGTCTTTTATCGCAGTGTAAAAGAAGTCAGGATGTGAAAAAATTTTCTACAAGCTTTTATACAAATTTACGTAACTATAGTCTGTAAATAACTATTTAATTATTTCAAACAGACATTGCACACAGTCATTACACAAACTCCCTCGCAATGAAACAATTCCAATATATTCTTAATTAAATGCCATATGTACAGTATACAGGATGTCCCAAAAATGTTGGAACATATTGGAAGGGGTGGTTCGGGAGGTGATTTGAAACAACTTTTTCCTTAGCGAAAATGTTGTCCGGGGCTTCGTTCGGGAGATATTTACTGAAAGCGCTGACCAATCAGAGCGCGCGTATGCCGTTGGAGCGGCCGTGGTAGCGAAGGCTACGCGCAGCGTCAAAGGACCGTCCCAGCTTGCAGACGTAACGTAAAAAATACGTTAATAACAATAAATCACTAAACTCGAGACTGAATTCGTCCATGGCAGAGTTATAAAAATTAAACTATTGCGGTACAAACGAAAAGAAAAGCGATTCCTGCGGGTACAAACGAGTCTAAAGAATCGGGAAAAAACAGATTTTAAATATCTTGAAAATTAACGAACTTCACTCTTACGCGGATCAACAACAATTGCTTGTAAAATTTAAACTATTGAGATACAAACGAAACAAAAAGCGGTAAAAACGTGTACAAACGATTCTAAAGAATCGGGAAAAACCGATTTCAAAAATCTCGATGTCGGGTGCTGACCATTTTTTTGAATTTTTTTTAATTATTAATTGGTCGAGGTACAAACGAAACTATTGGATGTACTGTTGAATTATAAACATATAATTTGACTTCAACAAAAATGAATCTAGCGTTGAGAGACACTGCCCTTTTCTTTGTAAGTTTAGAGTATCGGACTGGCACCACCAGGTCTGAAGACCCTTGACTGTTTGTCGTCGACGACCAGGGTAATAAACAGAGCGCAGGCAGAATTTTCTTTCTTTAAGTGGACGCTAGATTTCTGTTTCTCGTAGGCCTGAATTTTCAGTTTAGTTCTCGTCCGATCCTTGAACAGTAATCGTGTCCTACCGATCCGTTTGAATAAACGAAGAATTCAAATTAAATAAAAAGACTCGTTTATTAAACCCATATTCCAATAGGTACAATCAGGTACAAATAAAATACTATCGTTTTCTATAAAAAAAAAAATTAATTTTTGAAAAGTCGGGTGCCAAGTTCTGCCAAGTTCTGCCAGTTCTACCAAGTACTACACACTGCGAATTTTATGCATTCATGACGTCAAATACATAGAAAACATGCATAAAATATACATAATATATGTTGGATATATTCTACAATTATTGTAACAATATCATTATTTCGTTTTATAAAAGCGCACATACCTTTTGGTTATGTTCTTCATGTGTTTATCATATTAGTTTATATCATAAACGCATAAAATCCGCAGTCTAGTTATTACAAATTTTAAATGCAATATCACGACTCGATATAAAGTACGTATGATTTTTAATGGACCTTTCTATTCCCGTTTCAGCCAGATTTTTGTTCGTCATTCGGTAAACGAAATTGCAATGTGTTGCAGGACTGGGTGGTTACGGGTGGGCTTAACCCACAACCCAGCTGGTAACCTTACGCCGGCGTGGTAATTATCGCTGGCACAGTAACGGGCCGGACAATGCAATTTAATCTCGTTTTACGACGATACGGTGCGCAATTTACACCGACATCGGACGCCGATCTTTCTAATCGGCGTTCTCGGAACGACTCCCGAGCTCACACAGACGTATCGGATTCTTTGCCGACCGAATAATCGACGGTTCGAGGAGGGATCTCCGCGAGCTGGATCGTACGATCTCGAAGATCGACGATACGATCGGTATGATTCGGAAGAATCCGGTAGTCGTCACGCTCGCTCCCGTTGTACCGTTAATCATAACGAAAATTCTTACTCCATCGCGTAACCGCGTCTTCGATGTCCGTTCAGGAATTCGGCGCATTCCTTCTGTTCCTTTAACTTTTCTGATAGAAGCGCATTCTTTTCGTACAAATCGAATACACGTTCTTGCGTGAAAGATTCTATCTTGGACAGGGACTGCCATGATATTTACGAAGCTCCAACTTCCTGGTCCCCATACAGAAATATTAATATTTTTATTTGCTAGATTGAATGAATGCGAATTTTCCACCGCAATTTTTGTCCATCTACTATTACGTCTCACGTGAAAGATTCTATCTTGGACAGGAACTGCCATGGTATTAACGAAGCTTCAACTTTTTGGTCTCCATATAGGAGGATATAGATTGAATAAATAGGAATTTTTCTCCTCAATTCTTGTCCACCTATTATTATTCTTTGGATAAAATATTTCTCAAAAAAAATACCGATCTACATTCATCTATCCATCTATATATGTATATCTAACGTTAATCTCAGCTACTGGTCTCCAGCAGAGCAATACCTACTCGAATGAGATGCATAGATGTCGCTTTTGAACGAACACGGCGTTATCTCGGCGTCCAACCTTTTTGTACGCGAACACAGATGTATCCCTCCCCCCCTATCAAAGAGGAGACAGCCGTACGCCCACTCTCGCTTTTCATGAAGCCAAACCGGAATCGTACAGCTGAATCTAAATTGCATAATTATACCGGTCCATCTTTCTCTCGACCCCTTTCTATCGCGCTCCATCGCGGGAGGACCTCGTTGTCTTTTTCGTCGTGTTCCTCCTTCTTTTCGCTCTGTAACCTTCGTGTTTCGCGGCCTTTCTCTCCTCTTCGCTGCGCACCGAACGTCCAAGCAAACAGCGCGATTATAAATCGCTGCGATGCACGAGTACAACTCATCTTTGTTGACGAGACTCCGAGGGGGCAGTGGGATACTTCATAAACAAACGTGCTAAGTTTGAAAACCTTATCGTCGAGTTTGAGATAAATATTCACGAAAGAGAGGCCCTCCAGAAAGTGAGATCTAAGATTTTCCAAATTTTTGTCTTTCTTCCTTTGAAAGTAAGACTAGTCCAACAACAGTTCAAGTGCATCAGTATTCTCATTACCATGCATATTTCTGTTAATTTTCATCCCAAACAATGGAACAGTTGTATACATATATCGTCTACTGCACTGCGCAAGGAGGATCAAGCTAACTTGTCAATCCAATTTTTTTTCTATTGAAATAATCTATACGAAAAATTGCGATAAAAGCATCGTTAATAATTGAGTGATATTGAAAAGAAATTTGAAGTACACGAACCAAAGTAATCTAAATAGTTTTAATGCGAAGTTTGGGAATTTATTTAAACTTCAAGCACATGGTATTAGAGTACGTAGAATTTGGTTCACAGTCCCCTAAAACTCCCAATTGCCTAAACATTTGTAATATACAGGCTTGAATCTTTAAAAAACCAGAGAGCAGACCATACCATCCGCTTCATACAGCAATTAAACTTTTGATAACCGACCAAAAGAATTCGTGTTTCGAGCGCACGCGATCGCGCTTTATGGATGTTAATATTAGGTTAACGATCCGGTTGCTTTTTGTTTGTGTATCATCCTCGGAAGCCGAACAGCAACGAGATTACAAGTCGCTCGCGCGGGGGATTAAAACGATTGCCCCGAGACCGGTATTTAAGAGGAAGATGACCCATGATCGACATCTGTTTCCACGTCGAATCACTCGGGTCCCCGACGACCGGATATTGCCTCCAATCGCTTCGAAAACTTCCCTCCGTCGCCACTGAATCTTCTTGCGTTTACTCTGCACGGTGTCGTTGATTAAACCCCCTGCTATTGACGTTAATCATCTGTCCTTCGTTTAAAGGAACAAGATTGCCTCGCTACATCGATTGGATCTCGATTCATTGCCGCTACGTATTTGCTCAGTCGCGGGAGAAACGCTTGTTTCATCGATAAACCGTTGCAAACGAGTCTCTGGCCCGAATTATTAATATGTTATAAACGCTTACAACAATTATAGCAATATTGATATTAAACAATTGACAGCAGGGCTTGTGCAGGGAACAAAGAAGACTAATTTTACTGGCCATAGACCTCAGGCTTCTTTCTAAAATTACTAAAGTATTCGCAACGTTTCTGCTGCAATTTTTGATACAGGCAAGTCTAGGTACGTGTATGTTAACACTAAACCTATCGTCATTTGTACCTATTTCTACTGGCATTGGTAAAATGGCTCGTCTGGAAGACACTTATTTCAATTGAATGCAGATATAGTTCACGTGATACTGAATAGAATAATATATACAGTGGCGGCCATATACTTACGTACAGTTAATAAAATTAAATATTATTTCCTGTACACTTGTACATTAAACAAGTATAAGAAAATCTGTTACTTTTTTTGTAAGTTTACAATATACGTAATAAGATGTTAA